CCGAGGCTGAAAAGCCACGTGAATCGGAGACAGAAAACAGGAGAGGTGCAACCCATGGCTTTGGGGTTTGCATCCAATGGGGACGTTTGAGAACAATGGCAAAAAAATATACTAGTTGGGGTGGGGGGGGGAGGGTTTTCGGCTCTCCACAAATACCCTCTGAGCCAAGAACACATGGAGGGGCTGCGTTTGACCAAGGCTGGGACTCGCTCTCCAATTCCCACTCAGCCACGATATTCATAGGGTTCTCCGGATCATGGCCACTTCTGACAACCCAACCTATCGCAAGGCTTCGGGAATCAGAGCGGCTCATTTTGAGAAATGCTGGAGAAAGGGGTGATAACAGATGTCTCTAGATGTGGTCTGCAAGCCAAGCTATCCAGCTCGGCCTCCTGAAGAGCTTTGCTGGTGAGAGCGGCCGGCAACCAGCCAGGAAGCTGAGAGAGGTGGGAAAGGCCTGGAGAAGACGGAAGGGACTTGTGACTGCAGTCCCTGGCTACTCAAAAGGCTGACGCTTGGTTCTCTGCAGCTCCAGCCATCCCACTCCCGGGCTTCATAGAGGCAGCTGATCAGCCACTGCGTGAACAGAGAGCTGGACTTCGTGGGCCTTTGGTCTGATCCAGCCGGCCTCTTCTTACATTCAGGGGGAAAGGCTAGCTCTACTGACTGTAGAAAAGAGCCAGAGTCCAGGAGCACCTTGTTGTTCAGTCGCACAGTCGAGTCCGACTCTTCGCGACCCCATGGACCAGATCATGCCAGGCCTTCCGGTCTTCCACCGTCCTCTGAGGTTTGCTCAACTTCATGTTCGTTGCATCTATGACACTGTCTAACCATCTCATCCTTTGCCGTCCCCGTCTTCTTTGACCTGCAATCTTTCCCAGCATCAGGGTCTTCTTCTCCAGTGAGGGCTCCCTTCTCATTTGGTGGCCAAAGTATTTGAGCTTCAACTTCAGGATCTGGCCTTCCAGGGAACAGTCAGGGTTGATTTCTTTTAGGATTGACTGATTTGATCTCCTTGCAGTCCAGGGGACTCTCAAGAGTCTTCTCCAGCCCCATAGTTCAAAAGAATCTATTCTTCGGCGCTCGGCCTTCCTTATAGTCCAGCTCTCGCAGCCATACATGACTACTGGGAATACCATTGCTTTGACCATGCGGACTTTTGTTGGCAGGGTGATGTCTCTACTTTTGATCATGCTGTTTAGGTTCGCCATCGCTTTCCTCCCAAGGAGCAGGCGTCTTTTAATTTCATGGCTGCTGTCACAGTCTGCGGTGATCTGGGATCCCAGGAACGTGAAGTCTGCCACTACTTCCACAACTTCCCCTTTGCCAAGGAGTGATGGGGCCAGATGCCATGATCTTAGTTTTTTTGATGTTGAGCTTCAAGCCCACTCTTGCACTCTCCTCTTTTACCCTGAGCAAGAGGCTCTTTAGGTCCTCTTCGCTTTCTGCCATTAGGGTGGTATCGTCTGCATATCTGAGGTTGTTGATCTTTAAGGAGCACCTTAAAGACTGACAAAATCTGTGGCGTGCAGGGGAGGAGCTCTCGTGAGTCACTGCTCCACTTCTTCATCTAGATCTACTGAGCTTCAGTTCCAGGAGGGGAGATTTCGAATGGAGAAACTTCTGAATCACGAGAAGACTTCGACGCTGGAACCAAAGACCTACGAAGGTGTTGGGTACTCCCTCCCAGGAGATCTTTAAGCGGAGGTTGGAAAGCCATCTCTCAGGCATGCCCCAGTCTTGGCTGCCCTGCATTCAAAGAGGGGGTTGGACGACGAGGTCTCTTAGACCCCCTTTGACTCCAGGACTGTGTTTGAGGAACGCATGACCTTTCAGGAGAGACATGTCCCACCACCGTAGCAGAAGGCTCTTGGCCACTACGACATCAGCCGCCTCTCGCCCTCCCAGTTTGCATGCACAGGAACCCCAGCTTTAGCAAGGGAGGCAAAGTGCAAACTTTCCCCAGTGCTATGCCTCCGGGACTTTGTGTTTGTCACAGATGCTTGAGGCTGGTCCTGCATTGGGCAGGGGGTTGGACTAGATGGCCTGTATGGCCCCTTCCAACTCTATGGTTCTATGATTCTGTTCTATGACTCAGCCAATCCCCCTGGCTTCTTGGTTCCTCTTCTGCCTTCTAATTCAGGGCTATTTTGGGGCAGGAACACACAGGAATGGAGTTCTCGCTGGCTCCCAAGTTGGCCACGCCCAGCAGGAAATCATTAGCATAATAGGCCACACCCAACAGTAGGAACTCATTAGGATTGACTACATTAGGGGTGTGTGGCCTAACATGCAAAAAGCCCTGGGTTTTGACAACAAACAAGGTAAACAGAATAAGAAGCAAAAGGTGGGTGTGGCTGGATGACCACACTTCTGGTAACATGGGGGTGTAGCCTAATATGTTAATGTGCTGTGCTGTCAGGGGTGTGGCCTAATATGCTAATGAGTTCCTGCTGGTTTTTTTCTACCAAAAAAGCCCTGTTCTAATTCATTTCTCAATGCTATCAAACGAGCAATCGCAGGGTATCAGTCAGCCAGCGCTGCAACCTCATTGCCCGACGACGGGCCATATCCAATCGTCTCTCACCCCCCACAACAGCAGCAAGTGCAGTTTCTCCAGTGGAGGCCATTATCTCATTCAACTGCTGGTCATCCTGACGACCCAAGCCCTCTGTGTGCATCAGACCTTAGATGACTGACAACTGACTGCCCAATGGCAACGGGCCACTCCTCCTCTGCTGCCATCACGAGACACCGCAGGCACCAAGGCAGAAGCACACACCTGCCACCAGTGTTCCCTCTAAGCCGAGTTAGGGTGAGCCAGCTCACAGTTTTTTAGCCTCCGGCTCACACATTTTTTGTCTTAGCTCAGGAAGGGTGGCTCCAGAACAAACGGATTTATGCAGTAGCCAAATCGCTTGCTCACAATTTGAATGCCAGTAGTTCACAAAGTAGGATTTTTGCTCACAAGACTCCACAGCTTAGAGGGAGCATTGCCTGCAACCAAGGACCCAAAATGCTGCCATCAAGGAATGGAGCTAAATTGAGGGATCTACCTGCCGGGACAGGGATTGGTAGAGCGCAGAGATGGCGGGACGAGCTATGCCAATTTGGATGGCAGGTGGCAGATCCCAGTGTTGGATATCCCTTTGCATAAAGAACACAACTAGCATGGGAGAGAGAAAGGTAAAGGTTTCCCTTGCTCGAAAGTCAGTCGAATCCGACTCTAGGGTTGTGGTGCTCATCTCCGTAAAGCCGAAGAGCCAGTGCTGTCCAAAGACGTTTCCATGGTCATGTGGCCAGCATGACTAAACACCAAGGCGCACGGAACGCTGTTACCTTCCCACTGAAGTGGTCCCTATTTATCTACTTGCAATGTCTTGCTTTCGAACTGCTAGGTTGGCAGGAGCTGGAACTAGAGACGGGAGCTCACTCCGTCATGCGGCACACTCGGGTCTCGAACTGCTGAACGACCGCCCTTCCACAGCCTGCAGTTCAGCGTCTTAACCACTTGAGCCACCACAGCTTCTTGGGAGAGAGAGGGGGGGGGGCAAAGCCCTGTTTGTGCGCTATGCCTGTTTCTGTTTGTGGGGATGTTTTGATATAGAGCAGGGAGGCCAAACTGTCGCTCGGGAGCCACATGCGGCTCTTTCACAGATATTGTGCGGCTCCCACTACAGTGGCTGGGGAAGCAAAGGAGAGGCATGCCTCCCCGATCAGTCTTCCCTGCCCCAGCCAGTGCAGAGAAAGAAAGCAACCTGAAGTTTAAATGCATTCTCAACGCCCCCCCCCCCCGCCGCCAGCCAGCTTAGAGAAGGCATTTGTCTCTTTAAATCCCTTCTCCAAGCCAAGCTAGCCAGCGTGGGGGTGGGGGCTTGGAGGACGCAGTTAAAGCGGCTTTCTTCCCACCTCTCCCTCCCTCCCTCCCCCATCTATTTACTGTCTTTCCACTTTCTTTCTTTCCACCTTTCTTCCTCTCTGTCTTTCTCCCCTCCCTCCCCATCTGGAGCTATCAATTTAACATTAATAAAAGCAAATTTGCATATTTTTCAATTAAAACATGTGTGTAATATTTGTCCGCGACTTGCAGCTCTCAGACATCTGACCTTTATTCTATGTGGCTCTTACGTTAAGCCAGTTTGCCCACCCCGGATATAGAGGAACGTTCCAAAATGTGGTCCTCCCCCCTCCAGTCTGAAGTGGCACAGCCCAGTGAAGCTCCTCCCCCATCTGACCACCTCATCCTCCAGCATGTGTGAACCAGGCCTCAATCAGAGACAGGGATGCCGTCTCCAGGTTGGAAAATTCCTGGAGATTTGGGGGGGTGGAGCCTGGGGAGGGTGGGGTTTGAAGAGGGGAGGGACCTCAGTGGGGACGTGTCGCCCTGGAGTCCGCCTACCAAAGCAGCCATTTCTTCCAGGGGAACTGATCTCTGTAGTCAGGAGACTGGTTGTGATTCCGGGAAATTTCCGGGCACCTCCCGGCAACCCTAGATACATGAGTACTGAGTTCCAAGACCACCAACCCTCCCACCCAAACCGATGATAAAGAGCACACACCAAGGACAAGATGCTTTTTAGCCACAGCAGCCCTTTGTAAACCCTTTTTGATATCGGGGGGGGGCGGGGGGAGGTCAGACAAGCTAGAAAAGAGCGAAGGGAAGGAGGCAAAGCTTTTACGAAAAGACAGCAGCAAGGCATAGCTTTGTTCCGCAGGGCCCCCCCCCCCCCCGATGCAGACGTTGGCGACGGACGCCAGAGAACACAGATTGGAGGGGGTGTTGTTGCCAAGGCATCCTCCTCTTTGGAAATGACGGATGATGGCGGCTCTTTGCTCATGCAAGGGGATCCATTAACAGCGAGCAGCAACGGGAGGGGAGTCCCAAAACTAGCGCCACCCACTGGGTGGAAATGATTCCCGGCCGGGGGAAACCGAGCCCAGCCGATCCGGGGGCAGGGCGAGCTCCCCCCGGGCCAAAGGCGTCCTCCGAAAGACAGCCATCATCTCGGATAGTAGTCCTCTGGCACCCCGGTGAGGTTTCTGAGTTTGAGCGCCCTGTCCACCGTTTTGATGTAGCCGCCAATCATCTTCCTCATCTCGGGCGTGTAGGGGTCGTACTCCAGCTTCCGCAGCCCGGAGCGCTTGAAGTTCCCATCCTTCTGGCCCTCGACGCACAGGAGCCGGTCCTCGAGGACCGCGATGCCGAGGAGGCTGACCATCCGCTTGAGCTGGACAAAGAGGTCCCGCTTCAGGTCCTCGAAATGGACCACCAGGACATTCTTCCCATACTTCAGCCAATCGATGGTGTGCGTGGCCCACCAGGGGGCGTAGTTCTTGACAAATTCGGGCCACTCTGAAAGGATAAGGGAGGGGAGAAATTAGGTTCACGGGGAGCGAGGCAGGGAGCATGACCCTACCAGTGTTCCCTCTAAGCTGAGTGAGTGTGAGCCAGCCCACAGTTTTTTAGCCTCTGGCTCACACATTTTTGTCTCGGTTCAGGGAGAATGGCTCCAGAGCAAACTAATTTGTGCCGTAGCCAAATTGCTCACTCACCACTTTAATGCCGGTAGCTCACAAAGTAGAATTTTTGCTCACAAGACTCCACAGCTTAGAGGGAGCATTGGATCCTACACACATTTTTCATTGAGTTCAATAGGATTACTCCCTTGTGATTGTGCTTAGGACCGCAGCCTTGGTTTCAGACAGGCAACCAGCATCGTGAAACCCCAAACCTATTTAAAGTGGAAGTATATATACATGAAGCTGCCGTATACTGAATCAGACCTTTGGATCCATCAAGATTAAGCAGTGACTCTCCAGGGTCCCGGGCAGAGATCTTTCACGTCATCGACCACTTGATCTCTTAAACTGGAGTCACTGGGGATTGAACCTGGGACCTTCTGCATACCAAGCAGAGGCTCTCCCACTGAGCCACGGCCCCTTCCCAAGTACATAAAGCAGCCTTCTTTCAGAGCAGGCCATTGGTCTCTGCCATGGAGTGCTGGATACTCTGGCTGATAGCTGCTCTCAAGGCATTCTGGGTAGCTGAGATCCTTTAACAGGTGACTGAACCTGTCCTCCTTCAAGCTAACTAGCAGTTGCTGTTGTTATCATATAGCCTTGTGTGTAGCATAGCCAGGAGATCCTAAGATTGTCTGGCAGCCACAAGTTCTAGCTCTTTTAGTGTTATGCACCACTAGGCGGCGAGCTAGACTTGTTTTAAAGGCATTTCAAAGGTGGTTTGCCATTGCCTGCCTCTGAGTCATGACCCTGGTATTCCTTGGAAGTCGCCTTTCCAAATACTAGCCAAGGTATCTAAGCAGTTCTCTCACTCAACAATTGCCCCACCCTTAAGTTAACCATACCCATTCAATTACGGCCATAAATAATCTTATTAAGGACACCTTCGCGGGACCTCTGGACCTCTCTTGTCCAGAGACAGATGCCCGGCCACCCAGTTGAGTCCTGTCTTCTCTGACCGGCAGAGGTTCTCCAGGGTCTCAGAGAGCTACAAATGTTCTCCGATACCTCCATCATGAAGTCCTATAAGAGGGGGTGCAGGGGATTGAACCTGAGCCAATCTGCATGCAAAGTTTTCTAGCTTTCCTTGAAATTCCTCAATTTAAGAGCCCCCAGATTCCCTTTAAGGTAAAGGTTCCCTTGCTCGAAAGCCAGTCAAATCCGACTCTAGGGTTGCGGTGCTCATCTCCGTTTCAAAGCCGAAGAGGCAGCGCTGTCCGAAGACGTTTCCGTGGTCATGTGGCCGGCATGACTAAACACCAAGGCGCACGGAATGCTGTTACCTTCTCACTGAAGTGGTACCTATTTATCTACTTGCAATTTCTCGCTTTCGAACTGCTAGGTTGGCAGGAGCTGGGGCCAGAGACAGGAGCTCACTTCGTCATCCCTTTAGAGAATCCCTAAAGTGAAATTCCAAGAGACATTCAAGGCCCACCGAGGGTGGTCTGGGGGACTGGTCATTTGGTTCCCCTCAACATTCCTCAAGCGTTTTGCCCCAGGCAGAGCCCTCCTTGAATTCACTTTGCTGGCAAAGATACCAGACCCCCAAATGCGAGGCTACTGAGGCTCTTTGCCTCTCTGGGGCCGTATTCTACAGTCAGACTTTGACCTGGATATTATCTCCACTGACCGCAGGTGCTTCTGCATGGTATATTTGCCCCAAGTTTGATGCTGTCGGGCAGTGGGGGGGGTTTCCCTCCTTCTGCATGGCATTGTGGTGTGTTCGTGCACACTGCAGGGTTTCCCCGATTTTCCTTTGATCTTTCTCAAACCTGCTTTACTCTGAAGTTTCGGGAAAGATCACAGCAAGGCCTGGGTGGGGAAAATTCAGAGCTTCCTGGTCCCACCTACACAGCAGCCGCTAGCTCCCACATTAGCAGGGCTATTTTTGGGCAGGAACGCACAGGAACAGAGTTCCGGCTGGCTCCTGAGTTGGCCATGCCCAGCAGGAACTCATTAGCATAATAGGTCACACCCAACAGGAGGAACTCATTAGGATTGGCTACATTAGGGGTGTGTGGCCTAACATGCAAAGGAGTTAAAAAAGCCCTGGGTTTTGACAACAAACAAGGTAAACAGAATAAGAAGGGAAAGGTGGGTGTGGCTGGATGACCACACTTCTGGTAACATGGGGGTGTGGCCTAATGGGCTAATGAGCGGTGCTGTCAGGGTGTGGCCTAATATGCTAATGAGTTCTTGCTGTTGGGTGTGGCCTATTGTGCTAATGAGTTCCTGCTGGGCTTTTTCTACAAAAAGAGCCCTGCACATTAGCCATTTCCTTCCCTTACTGCAGAGGGTTTTTCTTTTCTTTTTTTAAAAAAACCCACGGATTCCACCGCATTTTATCAATATGTCGTTTTACCAAAACATGCATTAGGTTCTCTGAATTCCCAGCTTCCGTTTGACCAAAAAAGTGAGTCTACGGTTCCTTTCCCTCCCCACCACCACCTTACAGCTAATCAAGAAAACGTCTTTGCTAAGAAAAGGCCGTCCTCGGGAAAGCTCTTTTGGTGATGATGGATAATCTCATTAGCCGGCTGCTCCATTGGTCACCAGGTCCCAGGAACAGCGAAACGTGTTCCCTTTCTTTTTAAAAAAAAATATTTCAATTATCCCCGAGGTTTCTCGCTAATTCATCCTCACATTAAAATCAGGTGATAAAAAGGATCATGAACCAGCCATAATCTGCCAGGATTCTGCCCGGAGCTGTATCCAATTCGACGCATCCAAGAGGCTGGTCTGTGAGCATCATTGTCTTACACTCCTTGAGAAATGGACTTTCCCTCCCCCCCCCCGACCCTGATTAATAGCTCAGTCTGTATTTTATCCTGCAAAGAATCATTAAACCGAGTATCTGTTTCATTAAACAGATACAGGACAATTCACCTCGCATAATCATATCACATAAAACTTTGCTTTGGAACCATTCCAAGGGATATCATAAAATTAATGCCATGGAACAAAACACTGAATTATTATTATTATTTTTAAAAAATTGCAGAGATTTAAGATTAGGAGGAGAAAATGTCGACTTCAGCCATGGAGAATGGTGGCATTCAACTGGCACAAAGCAGGCATGTAAAATGCCAACAAGCCACGGCCGTCTCATGAGGCAGGGACTGCCCTGGTTAACAACACCACTGACCACTGGAGCAGCTCCGTGAGAAGCCATCTCAGTTTTTGTTTTCTTAAAACTGCAGAGCAGCAAACCAGCCCAGCTCTGTCTCTCTCTTACAAACGTCACCAGTTTCTACAGCACAATTGTGGGAAGTGCCATTTTAGATTTCAGGAGGGAGTTGGAGAATAGATCCAGGCAGGGCTCTTTTTTTTGTAGAAAAAGCCCAGCGGGAACTCATTAGCATAACAGGCCACACCCAACAGCAGGAACTCATTAGCATATTAGGCCACACCCCTGACAGCATAACTCATTAGCATATCGGGCCACACCCCC